GCCCCGAGGCGGGAGACTCGGGGCCGTCTGGGCCCCTCAGGCGCTGGAAGCCGAAGCTGAGCGGGAAGCGCTGGTAGAAGCCCATGCTGGGCCCCAGCCCGAAGACGAGCCACAGCACTCCGTGGAGGCCAAGCCGGAGGAGCACCAGCCCCAGGACGAGCGCTCGCCATTGCATGGTCGCGCGGGCGCCGCGGGCATTATTTACAAACGCGGGGGGCCTTCCCCGCCGACCACCGCACCCCACGTCCACCCAGTAGCTCCGCTCACTTCCCCTTCAAGGAACTCCCTGCTGACGCACCAGGAACTGGCCCATTATCCCCACACCCCCAGCACCTCGGGCCCGGCCGGCCAAGCCCCACGTTCGCCCGCCCAGTCGCCCGGATTGGCCCGGCCCCGGCCCGGCCTCGCGGAGCGCGGCAGTGGACTCCCTCCCGCGCCATAGGCCACCCGTACGTCTCCAGCGCCGCGAGGCCCCACCCCTCCTTCCGCCCCGCCCTCCTGGCCCCGCCCCCTGGGCGGGAGGATTCGGATGGGCTGGCGTGGCGAGTAGGGACCGCTCGGGCTCCGGACGAGGGAACTTTCAGCCAATGGGAGCGCGGCACGGGAGCGGACGGCCGCGGGACAGGGACGTGGCCCCGGGCCCAACCGGTTCCGCGTAGAGCCTGTTTCTCCCAGAGCTAGGAGAGAGGAAAACTACTCCACCTCTATGTTAGGGATGGTGACAAATAAAAGACGTAAGGAACGAGGAGGAAAAAGGACATTTCTGTAGGACAGGGTTTTTAATTTGCTATGTGGTAGGGGATGTTATGTGGTAGGGATGATACTATCTATCATTAAGCTTAAGACTGCACAAAACGGTATCCTGAATTCTTTGTTAAAACATCCTAATTTGTAGTCTTCTAACACGTTTTTTATTGAAACACCCTAACCTGGAAGAATTGCTCACGGTGATTGTTCCCAGGTCCTGTCCTAGACCTAACGAACTCCAATGGAGTGTCCCGAGAATGTGTGTATAACAAGTGTTCTTGAGCAATTCTTAGCATCTGGCAATCTCAGGAAATATTGAGTTAGGTTACATTGCCTTTGTCTCGGAAATAGGATCTTTAAAAAAAAGATAACAGCGGTAGGAGTGAAGGCTGCCGCTGCCACCACCGAAGTATTTTTACTAGATCTATTTAATCATGTCCCCTCCTGCCCCTCCCACTGCCACCATCTCTCCTGTACAGTGTAGCAGTGACCTATCCTTTGAGGTGTGGGATAGATTCCTGGTCACTTTACCCCTCTGTATCTGCTTCCCATAATTAATAAGGTGGCAAATGTCAGCTCTGAAGGTCTACTGCTTTCATGTGATGACTCAGCAGTTGAGGGGTTTTGTTTTCTTTTGCTTGCTGCATTTGAAAATGTCTGCTAAGGTTTGCCCTCCATAAGCTTAGACCATGTGCCTCTTATATACCGAGGTTCCCGAAAAGCTTGGGAAGCAAGGCCTGACGGGTGGCTCAAATCAGAGATTGGCTGAGTGACCAAGGGAGTGATTAAGGATGATAAAGTTGTCACGTGGCACACTCATCACATTCTCAGAGTCAGAGGACTTTTAGCAACACAGAGGAGGTATAATGGGGACTGAGAAGGAACCCAAAGAAACATTTGATTTCTAACACAAGGTAGCGGGCACATAGTAAGGCCCTTTTTGTTGGCTGAGCCGTATTCCTGTCCAAAATCCTGAGATAGGCCTGCCCAAGCACTGAAAAGAGTGTAAAGAGTTGGAGCGTGGGTCTTTTGCCTATACAGATTCTTTTCCTCTGTGAAAGGCACCTAGGGACCCTGCTGAAAGTCCAACATCAGTGCTTGATCCTCAACTTTCAGATCCGCCTTCTTGGAACTTGCAAACTGAACGTGATTATTAAGGACCTCGTTGTATGTTTCCTCCCTAAGTTATTTTACTGCAAATCTTAACTCACCACAGTCAACTATAGACCACACTGATAATAGCTCCTGTTTTCACATTAGAGACAAGGTCTAATAAAAACAAATCTTTTTTCCTAACCAGAGAAAACCATCTAACTTTTGAAAGATGCTTTTCACGGTCAAACTGACAATACCTGCCAGCTGTATATGTCTGGCGAGTTTCAAACTACTTTCACGTGTACTCATTTAATCTTCGCAGAAAACCTTATATGCTCAGGTTGGGGGTCTCAAGTCCTCCAAGCTAGTTGGCTCTAGGCAGAAAAAGAACTACTGCCCTGCTTTCTCACACTTTAGTCCCAGAAATTTACTGTAACTAGCTGGCCCTCAAAGCAAAGAAAGACTGGTCCTTCACTATTCTTCCCAAAGCAACAATGCTGACACTAGTGTCCTGCAAGGCACAGCCTAGGATTTAGGGGCCAGGTTCAGAAAATACCTCCTTCTCGAATTAAACTCAACAACAACGAAAATCTTGTGCTAGCCCTTTAGATTAGACTAGACTCCCCTGAAGGTAAATGTGGCTAAGACTGGAACAACACCCATATCTAACTAGAAAACCCAACCTTAAAAATCAACTCAAGAGACTGTTTTGTGATAGGTTCTTCCACACATAAGCTCACAAAAGCATCAGGGGACTGATTAAAAAGAACACTAAACTGCACCGTGGTAAAAATGGGTGACGCCAAAGAGGTAACTGCTACGAACCCAGACTCAGAAGTCCAGCTGCCAGGTGTTCATATCTTAGCGCTGCCCTCTGAGTAACCTTGGGAAGTTACTTTTCAGGACGTTTTCTCATCTGTAAAATGAGGGTGATAAAAACAGTACTTACCACATACGGTTGTGAGAATTAAATTCTTTATTGTATATAGCATACCTACAACAGTGCCACATACATGGTGAGGCCTATTATTACTACTCATCTACTCTGTGTTAAGACCAGCAACTAGTAAAAGTACCTGGAACATATAAGGCTGAGGTCTGTTGGATGAATTAAATAACTAAGCCCCTACAATTTTCAAAGCACTATTTTAGGAGAAAAATGTGTCTAAGTCAACCGAGCATAAAACAGGACAAGGGTTAAAAGTTACCACAGTCTAAGAACAGTTGAAAAAGCTTTGAATCCTCCACTAATTCCAGTTCTATTTAACTCAACCTGTTCCAGCTTCCACACATCAAGGTCCTAAATCTGTGATTTGGGTTACATCCCAAAAGGTCATCCTAATTCAATCACCCTCTTACTTTGATAGTTGAAGGAGATGACTGCTTACCTCTATTTCAGTGCCTTTAAAGATATCCTCCACTGTAAATAAATAGACATTACAGTTTTTGGGGATCAGTTTTGTGAGGCTGAGTGGGTGAATCAACGCACTAGTTTCCTAAAACCGCAAAGCCAGAAAAAAAGCTCTGGCCCTTTCTTTCTTTCTTTTTTTTGTGGGTACGTGGACCTCTCACCGCTGTGGCTTCTCCCGTCGCGGAGCACAGGCTCCGGACGCGCAGGCTCAGCGGCCATGGCTCACGGGCCCAGCCGCTCCGCGGCACGCGGGATCTTCCCGGACCGGGGCACGAACCTGTGTCCCCTGCATCGGCAGGCGGACTCTCAACCACTGCGCCACCAGGGAAGCCCGCTCTGGCCCTTTGATGACCCTAAAGGGTAGTCCCAGAGCTTCCTATATTAAATATCAGGACTAAAGTAGTCTATAAAAAGGAGGGATTTTTCTACTCTAAGAAGTTATGTGGGCTTCCCTGGTGGCACAGTGGTTGGGAATCCGCCTGCCAATGCAGGGGACATGGGTTCGAGCCCTGGCCCAGAGAGATCCCACATGCTGCGGAGCAACTACGCCCATGCGCCACAACTACTGAGCCTGCACTCTAGAGCCCGCGAGCCACAACTGCTGAAGCCCGTGCGCCTATAGCCCGTGCTCCGCAACAAGATAAGCCACCGCCATGAGAAGGCTGCGCACCACAATGAAGAGTAGCCCCCACTCGCCCCAACTAGAGAAAGCCTGCGTGTAGCAACGAAGACCCAATGCAGCCATAAATAAATAAATTTAAAAGGAAAAGAAAAGCAAAAGATTATATAAACAACCCAAATGTCTATCAATAAGGACCAGTTAAATAAATTATGGAAACCCGACACAGTGAAAACCACACACAATGAAATGGGAACCATACTACTGTCAAAGAAAATGAGGAATTCTCTACATAGGGCTGTGGAAATATCACTCGTACATAGCAAGTGGAAAAAAGCTATGTTCAAATACCTCCTATACAAGAGACTTTTAAAAAAGTATATATTTCTATTTGTTTCCTGTATTTTGTATAAAACACTAGAAAGATAAATAAGAAATTGATATAAGGGTGACGTATAACACCAGGTGGTAGTGGAAGAGTGGTTACTCAGTCATGGGTGGGATCAAGAGTTCCTATGTCTTTTTATGTATTTTCAATTTTTGAAACATGTAACATACATATGAAAAATCAACTTATTCAAAAAGTAAATGGAACTTGGAGAAAAAGTGATGAGCTTTCTGGCCCACACTTTCATTTTTTAAAATAAAGTTATTTGGTTTTGGCTGTGTTGGGTCTTCGTTGTTGTGCACGGCCTTTCTCTAGTTGCGGCAAGCGGGGGCTACTCTTCATTGCGGTGCACGGCCTTCTCACTGTGGTGGCTTCTCTTTGTTGCAGAGCACAGGCTCTAGGTGCACTGGCTTCAGTAGTTGTGGCTCACAGGCTGTGGAGCACAGGCTCAGTAGTTGTGGCACAAGGGCTTAGTTGCTCCGAGGCATGTGGGATCTTCCCGGACCAGGGATCGAACCCATGTTCCCTGCATTGGCAGACGGATTCATAACCACTGCACCACCAGGGAAGTCCCTTGCCCACATGTTCTAACTACTATACCACTAAATCAAACACTGAAACTTTCCGTTGAGAACTGATTTTCATCACCACTCGCGTGCCATGCCCCAGCCCTTAAGTTACTGACGCGTCCAGAAAAAGTAGGAATAAGTTCCTAACCCTTCTTTGAAGGGAGAGGAGAGCTAGCAATTTCATAAATTGGCTCATGGTATGACAATTTCTTTTTCCTTAGGGGATGATACAAATAGAAAAAGGAGTCATCTAATTCATGTACTGGATAACAGTAGATAAAAATGATGGACTCTGGGGCTTCCCTGGTGGCGCAGTGGTTGAGAATCCGCCTGCCGATGCAGGGGACGCGGGTTCGTGCCCCGGTCC